CCGAGGGTGGGGCGGGGGCAAGTGTCAGTCAGGGCGAGCGCGGCGCGGGCAGTGGAGACCCGCGGCATACAGGCATCCGGGCCGGAACGAGGCCTGCAGAGATGGAGTTCCTGCTGGGGAATCCGTTCAGCACCCCTGTAGGGCAGTGTCTTGGTAAGGCCGCGCGTGGGGCAGGCGTCGAGTGAGCCACAGAGCGGCTGGCCGGGCTGGTGAGGTCCGGGGCCTCCTCCCGGCACAGATACCACTTCACGTGCGGGTTGGGCCTCTGCCAATAAGTGGTGTCATCTCAAAGGTGGACCGGGCATCCTTGTCACGAGGCCTTTGCCTGACGCTGGTGCTACCTCACCCTGCCAGGAGGCTCCCCTGAGGTGCAACTTGGATTCTGAGAGGCACCCTGCATCCCTACCCATCAAGGCCCAACCTTTCCAAGTCTCTCCCTAGAAGCAGTGCCCATGCTGGACTGCCTACCCTTGCGTATTGGGAGATGTCACTGCGAGCAGTCTTCTCCAGGCATCTCGCCGCATCTGCTCTCAGGGCACCTTTCTCCCAGAGTCTTTGTGGAATGTCACTTCTTTCTTCCATCCCCGTCCCTACTCAATGGTACCAATGGCTCTGAGGCTGGGCAACTTCCCAGCAAATGTCCCATGCTGCACGACTTCTAATTTGAGCTGCAACTCAGCCAGGCTGTAGGAGGGACTGGAATGGGGGAGGCGCTCCGGTAAGGTGACTGTCTCGGCAGTGGGATGGCATGTCTGCAGAGCCTCCTAGGAAAGAAGGGAGGCCGGACGTGCTGCTTGTTGATAAACACTGCTCTGGAACCCGGAAACTTGGACTCCAATAGTGACTTCGCTCGGGACTCTCCTTGACATCGTTCTCGTTTGTCACACGAGGTGTTTAGGGATAAGATGTAGTGGGACTTTCCAAGTTATCAAGTTTTTAACCTTCCTTGTTGATAGTCAGTGTTCCTGACATTGACTCTTGTTCCCCCACTATATTAAATTGGCAAGACTGAAATCTTGCTGGTAGTACAGCACTCAGGTCACCTGTCAATACTATAAGGAGCCAGAGATGGGCAGCATGCCACATATGGAAAAGCACAAGCAAAGCAGCCGCTGTGAAGTTTCCTTATTGAAAAAGCTACGTGCAGACTGGGGCATAGTTCAGTGGTAGAGCTAGCTAAGCACACACAAAATCCTAGATTTGATCTCCAGCATTGCAAGTAATAATAATAAACAAGCAATTTGGCTTTTCACCCAAGGCAGGAACTTATGCCAAGGGATCAGTCAAAAATGCTGATTAATGTCTTTTAAAACTATGTTTCAGTGCCAGAGTGCTGGCTCACTAGTTAAGAGCACTGGCTGTTGATCCAGGTTCAATTCCCAGTAGCTGCATTGTGGCTCACAACTGGGTGTAATTTCAGTTCCAGGGGATTGGTTGCCTCTTCTGACCCCTTTTATATACATGGCATGTAAATGGTGCACAGACATACAGGCAAACAGAACACCCACACATAAAATGTTTAAAAATTAAACATTAGAAGTGGGTCAGTATCTTGTATGAACAGGGATCTGTACTGTCCTTGTGGGTCAGACTAGTCCGGGCAGTGAAGATCTGCTTATTTTCTGCTTTGCATATGAATTTATAGCCTACTTTTCAAACTTTAGAGGGGCCTGTGAACTTACTGAGGCTTCTTGTGTTGGTTGCATGGCATTTTAGGGACATTTTGTTTCTTCTTGGTACAGTGTCTTTTATAAATGATCATGGATACTGGGACCTGAAAGTCTTTTCCCACTTCTATGACACGTTGTTCTCTGATGCTCACTCCAGTATCACTTTATTTTTTTTCAATTTTATGTGTTTGTTTTGTCTTCATGTATGTCTAGACACCACTTGTGTGCCTTGTGCCTGCAGAGGCCAGAAGAGGGTGTAGGATCCCCTGGAACTGGAGTTAAAGACATTCTGAGTTTCCGTGTGAGTTCCAGGAATAAAACCTGGGTCCTCTGGAAGAGCAGCAAGTGCTCTTAACCACTGAATCATTTCTCCAGAATCCCCTCTCTTTTTGAAAATATTTTGTTTTATTTATGTATATGTGTGCATGTATCTGTGTGAGTGTATACATACATGTATGTGTTTGTGTGTGCCTGTGAAGGAAGACATTGGATCCCTGAGAGCAAAATTACAGGCATTTGTGATCTGGCTGGTGAGGGTGCTAGGATCTTGTTTTGTCCCTGTTTTTAAGTGTTATTTCACTGCTGTCCAAACTCATGTCTCAATTTAGTGTTGAGTTCAACTCAGTGAACTTGAGGGTTTTGTAGAGTTAGGGGAAGGAACCAGGAAGGTATAAAGGGCAGCATATCAAAAGAAGAAATAAGGGGTATAGGGGTATTTGAGTGGCCATAAATAAATAAATAAATAAATAAATAAATAAATAAATAAATGTGTTAGATGTGACCTGGGTTGAATGACCTTGGCTTTAGAACCTGAGCCCTAGTGTGACTGCCTGCTGAGCAAAGACTAGGGGAGGGTGGGGAGAGACTTGTGTTTAGAGTGCTGCGGTTTGAAGGGGATGATGCCTACCAGCCATTGGTATCTAATCTGGAACATTGTAGAGACTCAGTAACTTGAGCCATCTTTGTGTTCACATCATAATAATTAAGTCTGGGTTGTGTTTTCTATCAGAAGAGGCCATTCGATGGGACTGGTTTATGACCTGGGGAGGAAAATACCCTCCCAGGCCTTAGGTCCACTGTTGCTTATGAAAGACACTTGAGGGGCTAGATAGATGGTTCTTATTAAGAGCATGTTTTGCACTTGCAGAAGCCACAAGTTCAGTTCCCAGTGTCCACATGGCAGGCAGCTCATGACCATCTGCAACTGGAGTTCCAGGGGGATCTGACACCTTTTTTTGGCCTCTGTGGCATGCATGTGGCACATATACCTACATACAGGCAAACACACACATTTGAACAGTAAATAAGTAAATAGATCTTAAGAAAAATGAGTTTGATCATGAAAATGATGAAGGGTTTCTGTTGGTAGGCAGCCAACAGTCAGCAGCTAGGCCTTAGTCATTTTAGTTTGGAAAAATGATAAATTGACATATTGAAATTTTAATTGATATTCTGTAGTATTGTGTCAAAAAGTAAACATGATTTTTGGTATTGTGATTTCTTTAACTATGTACATATGCTGGGAATGGTGGTACATGCTGGAAATCCCAGGAGGAGATGGAACCAGGAGGATCAGGAGTTCAAGGTCAGCTTCTGCTACATAGAGAGTTTGAGGCTGTTGTGGGCTACATGAGACTCTATCTCAAGACACTGTCAGCTGGCTGGAGAGATGGCTCAGCAGTTAAAAGCACTGGCTGCCCTTCCAAAGACCCTGAGTTCAATGCCCAGCAATCACATGGTGGTTCACAACCAGCTGTAATTAGATCTGGTGCCCTCTTCTGGCCTGCAGGCAGACATTCAGGCAGAACACCATATATATAATAAATAAATCTTGAAAAAAAAAAAAGACACCATCAGCAACAATAATAAGTATGTTCTGGGGATGAGGAGAGGGTATACAACCACAAGGCTACTGCTTTAAACAGCAGTTGGGACTGGAGAGATGGTTACTGTCTGCTCTTCCAGAGGACTCAGGTTTGATTCCCAGCACCCACAGGGCAGCTCACAACTGTCTGTAGCTCCTATTTCAAGAACTCTGAGAATCTTCTGGCACTGTGGACACCACCAAGTATGCATGTGATGGGCAAATGTATGTGTAGGCAAACTACCCATATACATACAAATAATAAATAGATAAATCTCTAAAAAATGTAATAGCAACTATGGGGCTGGAGAGATGGCTCAGAGGTTAAGAGCACCTATTGTTCTTTCGGAGGACCCAGGATCGATGCCAGTACTCACATGGTGACTCACAATTACCTGTAACTTTAATTCCAGGGGAACCAATACCTTATTTTTATCTCCATGGGCTCCTGCATGCTTGTGGTGCACATACATGCACTCAGGCACACACACATGCACATGAAAGAAAAATATTTAAATTTAAGATGGTAGCTAAAAGCTATTTACAAGGATCATGTTTTTCTTCCTGCTGTTTTGTCATAAGTTGTCCTTCCTGCTTTAGAGATGAAGAAACTGAGGCTTGGAGGAGTGGAATGACTGCTTAGCTGGTAGGAAAGAGAGCCAGGAACTCTAGTCCTGGGATTTAGGACTTTGGGAGAAAACACAGATGTCTGGACTGCTGGTGAGCATAGGAGTTTAGAAGACATCAGAAGAGGTTGGATGACAGGAGTGGGTGTGTCCTCTGAGTCTGAGGTACTATTCAAGGCAAGAGAAGGATCTGATGAGCCTTGGGGACAACTGAATGAGCAGGGAGAGGGTGAGGGCATAGGCTTATCTGCCCACCATACTGAGTGAAGAGAGGTGGCTGTGGGGAATGTGGTAGGTAGGGTTGAGTGACAAGCTGAGGATCTACCCAGGGTGGGCAATGTCAAAGATGACATTTTTTTTTCTGTGCTAGGATTGGAAGCCAGTGCTAAGTGTGACTTTCATTAATTGGCTTCAACTCTTAGTTTCTAGACTTCATTTTCCATTAAGTCCTTATTAGCTGCTCATGCCTCATACCTAAGTATCTTGGCCATTTCTAAGTATCTGTAAGGACCCAGGCCTTGGGAATACAGGTGTTTGTGGGGTTATACTTGGACCCAGGGCCTTATGAGTACCAGCAAGTATGGTATGCAGATATTAAAAAGCTACTATCAAAGAGCTGTTAGGAGAAAACATCCTCACTAGACATGTCCTGGACTGGAGTGGCTGGTGGGGAATTTTTTAAATATTTATTTATTTTATGTGTGTGAGTGACCTGTCTTGTCTTCAAGCATACCAGAAGAGGGAATCAGATCCCATTATGGATGGTTGTGAGCCACCGTGGTTGCTGGGAATTGGACTCAGGACCTCTGGAAGAGCAGCCAGTGGTCTTAACCACTGAGCCATCTCTCCAGGCCCTGGAGAAATTTTTGTAGACTTCTAATATGGTGCTGTTTGGTTCAATGCTTAGCCTGCCTGTGTGGTGCTGGTATAGCTATTTGTGCTTTTCATGTATGGATCTTGTCCTTTGTTCTGAATGGTGCTCGATAGTAGAAT